ACCATCAGCTGTTAGAAAAACATCATTTTGCGAAGAATCAGTTCCCGAAGCAGGGAACCGATCATCGCAAAGCGAAATTCCCCCATTTAGACCATCGTTTTGTGATCGCAATTGCGATCACAAAACGATGGTCTAAATGGGGGAATTTCGCTTTGCGATGATCGGTTCCCTGCTTCGGGAACTGATTCTTCGCAAAATGATGTTTTTCTAACAGCTGATGGTTGGTTTCAAAATGGCCACCGGGTAATTAAAATGGCTCCCCACTGTGTTTAGGGACGGATTCCTCGCTATACAGGCAGTGAAAATGGCTGCCGTATGGAAGATCTTCGCTGGATGGTGAGTTTTTACCCCATTGGAATGCATTGAACGGGTTTCAATGCGTTTCAATGGGTTTTTTAAATTTCGCTTTCCAATGATTTCGCTTAACGGCGATTTTCCTGGAATTGGATTATCGTCGTTAAGCGAGGTACCACTGTATCTGAACAAATGCATTTCACAGACAATCTTCTCACCTGTCAAGTTCTTCAGCTCCTCTGTCAGAGCAGTTTTGTTAAGGCTTACACTGTTGTTCCCAGTCTCTTCCTCCAGGTGAGTGAGGCTGACAATCCCAGAACGGTCAACGGAGGTGGTGTGCCCGTTTTTCAAGGCAGTAAGGCTTAGTTTGCCTGGCTCCTCTCCATCTATTAGGATTGCATGTGCGGTGGAAGAAGGGGAGAATTAAACAAAATTGTGCCAAACAAAGCACAGCTCAAGTTTAAAAAAAAAACAGTCAGGAAAGGAGGCAGTAAGAATTACAGCTCATGTCAATAGCCTTATAACCAAGCATCGATAGTCTACAAACTGATATTAGTGGCTAAGGAAGAAAGAGGCAATTCTGTGTTTATATGTGCACCCAGGTAAGGGACCAGCAGTGTACTGCCTGGAAAATGCATGTACTGTATAGCTTTTTGAAGCTGGAAAAGTGCCAAATGTGATTTTTTTAATTATTTAGGACAAGTCCTACATAGGAAAGAAGAGTTAGTCTACAGTGGACACAGAGTATATGTTTTAACTGGAAACCAGTCATCTATAATAAATCATAACAGTAGAGGGTGCAGAGATGGGAAGCAACTATTAATGTATGTTTGGTTAAAAAAAAAAATGGGGCCATAGCCAGCCCGAAGGGGAGCACCATACACTGGTATGGTTGGGTGCCAAGCATAAAGCAAAGAAACAAGTAGCAATGGAGATGAATTCCAGTGCAAAAAATAGGCATCCCAGAGTGTCATAGTAGTAAATAAGTCTCTTTAGAGAAGGAGAGATAAAATGGATCTGAGAGTCACTATCCTGAACTTTTTGGTGATAATGTAGTCATTGATGTCCTGTGGGCCACCTTTTTGTTTTTGTTCTTTGAGCACTCTAAAGTAACCGGAACAGATCCTGTTGGGGTTGTTGGTGTGGAAGACTGGCTCAACTGCTTCCTTCTCTAAAAGGGTAAGCATGTCCCCATCAAATCCAGATGAAGGCATGAGTAACAGAGAACAGCTGGATAGCACAGTGATTTAGGCATCTGGCTGTGTAGCCAGATGTTGGGAGTTTGATACTCCACTGTACCTCCTTGAGAGGGGCTGGACTCAGTGATCCATAGGGCTCCTTCCAGCTCTGCAGTTCAAAGGTTATTAACAGGTGAAAAGAGAGTCCAACTCTACAGAGTAACCTTCTGCCATGATGCATAGGTCTGTTGGACTCTGCTTGGAGGAAGGAGGGGGAGGTGATCTTCAAAGTAGGGGCGCTGGGTGGTAACAACAACAACAACAACAACAACAACAACAACAACAACAACAACAACAACAACAACAACAACAACAACAACAACAACAACAACAACAACAACAACAACAACAACAACTGTGGGAGAGCTTCCCCTGCTTGCACTTGGAAGGGGTCAGACAATGATCTGAACTGAGATGGTTGTGTTGATCTTCTGGTAGCGGAGAAGAGAAGATGGATGTGAAGATATGTATGATACAGCTGAATGGCTGGAATTATGCCTGGGCAGTTTTGTTGTTCAATGTATTTGCGAAGGCTTTAACGGCCGGGATCTAATGGTTGTTTTGGGGTTTTCGGGCTCTTTGGCCATGTTCTGAAGGTCCTAACATTTTGGCGGGCTCTGTGGCCGGCATCTTCAGAGGACAGCACTCTGGGTTGCTGTCCTCTGAAGATGCCGGCCACAGAGACTGGCAAAACGTCAGGAAGAACCACCTTTAGAACACAGCCAAAGAGCCTGAAAAACCCACAACAACCAGTTTTGTTGTTGTTGTTGGGTTTTTGTTGGAGACAGCCATCCTTTTCAAGGTGGCCCTCACCTTTTCAGTAGGGTCTAGTCTTTTCACAAAGCAAGCCTTGTTTCTCAAAGGGCATATCTTCTCATAATGGATCAGACAATAGTGTTAAGTCCCAATGAACAGAGCCTTGATTGGTGTCTAAGTGTGACAGCACTGGTTAGAATCCCTAGCCTTGCACCATCAGATAGTGTTTGTCTGCCAAGCTGCAAGGCAACAGACTTTTGCTTGAAAGGCAGAAGCAGTGTGACGGTCATCTACCAGCAGTTTAGCAAGGAAGGAAGCACCTTTATCCGAAAGAATTGCCAGTATCCCCTCACGTAAATCTGTTAATTTCCTATATCAAATGGAAAGGCCATCAAGGCATAGAATGCATTCCTTCTTTTGTCCATGATAATCCTCATGTGTAGGTGCCATTTTATTAAGTCTCCATTTATTTCTAATCAATCTTTTAATTAGCACTAACGTAAAATTGTTCTCTTTGCTGACAAGAGATGGGCATGAGCCACCACTTTGGCGCTTTGTGTCAGTTCATTTATTGCCTTAACATGTGTTTGGCACCTCCGAGCCCTGCCTTTCTCTGGTGGGGACCCACTCACAGGCTGTGCCCCAGCTTTCCTGCCCTACCTTCTCCAGGTGTTGTCTCTGAGTGGGTGCTCGTCAGAGGAGGCTAGTCTTGGAAGTACTGAACACCATTTGGGTGACAAACAAACCAGCACGAACCGTCCAATTCATACCCATCTTTACTGCTGGCATACACTGTCTCCTTTGATTGCCCTGCCTGGAGAAGATGAACACAGAACCTGCAAACCTGCTCTTGAGCTACAGTGGTGCCTCGCAAGGCGAGGTTTATGTGATCGCAAAAGCGATCGCAAAACAACGTTTTGAATCAGGGAATTTCACTGCGCAAAGATCGGTTCCCTGTTTTGGGAACCGATTTTTGCTTCCCGACGATCAAAACAGCTGATCATCAGGTTTTGAAAATGGCCGCCGGGTGCTCAAAATGGCTCCCCGCTATGTTTAGGAGCTATTTTTCACTGCACAGGCACCCGAAAATGGCCGCCCCTATGGAGGATCTTCGCTGGACGGTGAGTTCTTAGCCGATTGGAACACATTAACCAGGTTTTAATGCGTTTCAATGGCTTTTTTATTTTCGCTTTAAGACATTTTGTTCTACAGCGATTTCGCTGGAACGAATTAATGTCGTAATGCGAGGCACCACTGTACCTTGCTTACGCTCTGCCTTGTATGTGTGAAATCCAAGTTGAAAGCTCAGTTATGATGCTCACCAACACCAAGTGACCTTCTGCAAGTTATACCTTCTCAGCCTTATTTACCTCACAGACAATAGTTTAAAATGTTGCTCCAGGAGTGCGTCAGTACTAGAAAAGCATATGGGGGGAAGGAAATGGTGGAACAGGTGGTGAGTGCAGATGGGCACAGAACTGCAAAAGACAAGGATAACTAGAGAGTCAAAGTTGCCAGTGCAGAACAAGGAAAGTAAGGGGTGAACTTACCCTGTTCAGGGTCTTCAAGCAGAACCCCGCTTTTAATGAGCTCCTCTCTTGGTTTTCGCATTGAAATTTTTCTCTCTAGAACTGATATTAAATTAGGAGAAACACAACATTCAGAATACAGGGCAAGCTGGAGGTTTGGAAGAAAAATCCTTTAACAGACTCTAAGTGGGCCAAATGTTGCTGTTTTTTAAGGGTGAATTAATAAACACAGAGCCTGGCTCTTTGCTATTATTTAAACATTAATCCTTCTCCCAACATCTTTGCACTACAACTCACATCATGCCCAACTGGGATGACTGGGGATGATGGAGGTTATAGTTCAGCACCTGTGCAAGACCCCTTGTTGAGGGGAGGATACATATAAAGCATTCCCCCCACAACCTCCTATTTCAGTGGGGAAATAGAATACAAGCATCTCCATAAAACAGAAAGATGATCAAGACTCCCTCTCCCAGGTTTTGTTTTTATTTTGCTAAAGCAGTAGTTCTCCGACTGCCATGGAATATATCTGCAATTCTATTTATGCCAAGCCTATGTGCATGGTTACAACCCTTAGTGTATGTCACCACATCCATTCAGTTCAATTCCTCCAACTTCCGCAACGCCTTGTAACAAGAACTGGTATGTTTCCAGTACCATGACGTGGCCGGCATAATTTCAGAAAAAAGCAACTGCTGAAAGGAATCTGGAATCAGCTATTCACATGTATAATTGCAGATTCATAGTGAAAAGGTTAAAAAAAATCTCTTTTGATCTGGTTTCCAGAGTTGCAAAACTACTAAGAACTCAGCTGATTGCGTAAGACTGACAAATAAGCTTTTGGGGACTCCAGCCGACCTCTCCATCTGAACAAGTTGTTCTGGGGGGAAAAAACTATTAGTCTTAATAGTGCTACAAAACTATCCCTGGGAGATTAACGGTAATGTCTAGATTTAAACAAGGTTCAGACGTGATGACTCAGAGGCATTTTGACAGCCTTTTTAGAGGGTTGTGGGGTGTGGTGGGGTTTTTTTTGCCATTCTCTTCTCATTCCTCCCTCACCCAAAAGTAATGGAAAAGTAACAAGCAAAGCAACGCAGTGATTTTTAATGAAGAAAAATTAAGAAAATGACTTCCCAAATATAATAGTGACTAAAGGAATGAATTATTTTTAAAAAGTAAACTCCCAAACTCTACACTGAAGATGTAGCAATTCTGGTACAGTGGTGCCTCGCAAGACAGTTACCCAGCATGACAGTTTTTTCTCTAGACATCGACTTTTTTGCAATTGCTATAGCGATTTGCAAAACAGTGATTCCTATGGGGGAATTTCGCTGGACAATGTTTGATCCCTGCTTCGCAAACCAATATTCGCTAGATGACGATTTTGACAGCTCCCTCCGTGCTCGGAAAACAGGTGTTTTCAGGACCTAAGGTTCGCAAGACAGCTATTTAAACAGCTGATCGGTGGTTCACAAAGTGGCTTTCCTATGGCCAATCTTTGCTAGACAATGACGATTCTTTCCCACTGGAACGCATTAAACAGGTTTCAATGCATTCCCAATGGGGAAATGCTTTTCGCTAGACAATGATTTTGCTAAACAGCGATTTCCGTGGAACGGATTATCATCGTCTAGTGAGGCACCACTGTATTTTAAACATAGGAGATGAAAAGAGTCACACCAAGACTGCTGGATAGCTCAGTGGTTTGGACATCTGGCTGCAGAGCCAGAAGATAGAAGTTCAATTCCTCACTGTGCCTCTTGACAGAGGTTGGATTTAATAATCCACAGGGTCTCATCCGGCTACCATTTTATCATCGCCGTTGTCGTCGTCACCATCATCATTTAGTTTCAATACCAAGAATCTCTGTGGTACTGGGAGGAATTAAAATACCAGGGAACTTTAGTGTGTTACCTTCCGATGTCTCCTTAAATTTGCCACTGGCTTTCTTTTTCCTCCACTTCCAGGGTTTAAAGATCTTGCCGAAACCTGCAAATTTGCTTTTTCTTTTGGAGGGAGGCGTGGTGTCACCGGATTCCAGAACGTCCGTCCCCATTCCAGCATTGAGTGATGGCTGATCCAGGTCCTCAGCTATGCAGAAAAAGAAGGCAAGAACATTCAATCATGCAACATGTTATTTTGCTGCTCCCTTCTTTCTGTCCCCAAATAATGTGATTCCCTTGGGATAACGTCATAGTATATTACCAGGCACAGTTCAATTGTTGTTGTTGGGTTTTTGTTGGAGACAGCCATCCTTTTCAAGGTGGCCCTCACCTTTTCAGTAGGGTCTAGTCTTTTCACAAAGCAAGCCTTGTTTCTCAAAGGGCATATCTTCTCATAATGGATCAGACAATAGTGTTAAGTCCCAATGAACAGAGCCTTGATTGGTGTCTAAGTGTGACAGCACTGGTTAGAATCCCTAGCCTTGCACCATCAGATAGTGTTTGTCTGCCAAGCTGCAAGGCAACAGACTTTTGCTTGAAAGGCAGAAGCAGTGTGACGGTCATCTACCAGCAGTTTAGCAAGGAAGGAAGCACCTTTATCCGAAAGAATTGCCAGTATCCCCTCACGTAAATCTGTTAATTTCCTATATCAAATGGAAAGGCCATCAAGGCATAGAATGCATTCCTTCTTTTGTCCATGATAATCCTCATGTGTAGGTGCCATTTTATTAAGTCTCCATTTATTTCTAATCAATCTTTTAATTAGCACTAACGTAAAATTGTTCTCTTTTGCTGACAAGAGATGGGCATGAGCCACCACTTTGGCGCTTTGTGTCAGTTCATTTATTGCCTTAACATGTGTTTGGCACCTCCGAGCCCTGCCTTTCTCTGGTGGGGACCCACTCACAGGCTGTGCCCCAGCTTTCCTGCCCTACCTTCTCCAGGTGTTGTCTCTGAGTGGGTGCCCGTCAGAGGAGGCTAGTCTTGGAAGTGCTGAACACCGTTTGGGTGACAAACCAACCAGCACGAACCGTCCAATTCATACCCATCTCTACTGCTGGCATACACTGTCTCCTTTGATTGCCCTGCCTGGAGAAGATGAACACAGAACCTGCAAACCTGCTCTTGAGCTACAGTGGTGCCTCGCAAGGCGAGGTTTATGTGATCGCAAAAGTGACTAAAGGAATGAATTATTTTTAAAAAGTAAACTCCCAAACTCTACACTGAAGATGTAGCAATTCCAGTATTTTGAACATAGGAGATGAAAAGAGAGTCACACCAAGACTGCTGGATAGCTGAGTGGCTTGGACATCTGGCTGCAGAGCCAGAAGACAGAAGTTCAATTCCTCACTGTGCCTCTTGGTGACTAAAGGAATGAATTATTTTTAAAAAGTAAACTCCCAAACTCTACACTGAAGATGTAGCAATTCCAGTATTTTGAACATAGGAGATGAAAAGAGAGTCACACCAAGACTGCTGGATAGCTGAGTGGCTTGGACATCTGGCTGCAGAGCCAGAAGACAGAAGTTCAATTCCTCACTGTGCCTCTTGACAGAGGTTGTGGTACAGTGGTGCCTCGCAAGACAGTTACCCAGCATGACAGTTTTTTCTCTAGACATCGACTTTTTTGCAATTGCTATAGCGATTTGCAAAACAGTGATTCCTATGGGGGAATTTCGCTGGACAATGTTTGATCCCTGCTTCGCAAACCAATATTCGCTAGATGACGATTTTGACAGCTCCCTCCGTGCTCGGAAAACAGGTGTTTTCAGGACCTAAGGTTCGCAAGACAGCTATTTAAACAGCTGATCGGTGGTTCACAAAGTGGCTTTCCTATGGCCAATCTTTGCTAGACAATGACGATTCTTTCCCACTGGAACGCATTAAACAGGTTTCAATGCATTCCCAATGGGGAAATGCTTTTCGCTAGACAATGATTTTGCTAAACAGCGATTTCCGTGGAACGGATTATCATCGTCTAGTGAGGCACCACTGTATTTTAAACATAGGAGATGAAAAGAGTCACACCAAGACTGCTGGATAGCTCAGTGGTTTGGACATCTGGCTGCAGAGCCAGAAGATAGAAGTTCAATTCCTCACTGTGCCTCTTGACAGAGGTTGGATTTAATAATCCACAGGGTCTCATCCGGCTACCATTTTATCATCGCCGTTGTCGTCGTCACCATCATCATTTAGTTTCAATACCAAGAATCTCTGTGGTACTGGGAGGAATTAAAATACCAGGGAACTTTAGTGTGTTACCTTCCGATGTCTCCTTAAATTTGCCACTGGCTTTCTTTTTCCTCCACTTCCAGGGTTTAAAGATCTTGCCGAAACCTGCAAATTTGCTTTTTCTTTTGGAGGGAGGCGTGGTGTCACCGGACTCCAGAACGTCTGTCCCCATTCCAGCATTGGGTGATGGCTGATCGAGGTCCTCAGCTATGCAGAAAAAGAAGGCAAGAACATTCAATCATGCAACATGTTATTTTGCTGCTCCCTTCTTTCTGTCCCCAAATAATGAGATTCCCTTGGGATAACATCATAGTATATTACCAGGCATAGTTCAAATTGCTGATTTTGATCTATGAAGCCTTATGACTCTGTCTATTTGAATTATCACACTAAAGAACTTGACCAAAATTTGAATTCTTGAGGAAGAAGGGGAGAAAGGACCCTCTTTCAGACCCACTACTTTAAAAGGCACATTTGATAAATACACAAGGAAAAGATTTACAGGTGACGGCTCCCGGGCTGTGGAGCTCTCTTTTAAGGGAGACGAGGCCGCCCCACTGGCAAATAAAGGACCTTTTCATTCAGACGGGACTTCCTCAATGAAGCATGGCTGCCAGAGAATGGACGTTTGCTGAGATGCACGATTCTTTAATTGGCACAACTTCGGCCCTGTCTCTTTCATTCATTGCCACAGCTTTTTTAAAATTGGATTTTTATCACTGATCGCTCTTTTGGGAGAAAGACCAAGAAATAAGTCCAAGAAATAAATACATAAAATAGTCCTCCAACTGATGATGAGTATTGGGACTATAACTAAGTGGGGAAAAAATACATACGCACCATGACAGATTCGCTGTTTCCAAAGTCTTCATGTAATTAGCCCTCCCCCTTGTGGACTTTTAGGAAGCAATTAAAGACACTGCTTTTCAGGGAGATTGTCCGTACTGACCCCAGCTGACCACCTTCCCCCTATTTTTTTTTCTTTCCCCCTCCTCTTCCCCCCTCCCCCTTTTCCTCCATCCGCTCTGAGATTAGTCGGTGCCATCTGTTTTTATTTTTAAAGGGTTGTTGCTGTTGGTTTTAATATTTCTTTTTTCGTTGTCGTTTTCTGTTTTTCCAGTTGTAACTCGCCCAGAGTAGTGCTCTGACACTAATGGGAGCGGAATATAAATTGAATAAATGTAGTTAATTAATTAATTAATTAATCAATCAATTTAAATTTAGTTAGTTAATTAATTAATTAATCAATCAATCAATCAAGGTCTAACAGGAGCAGGTACAGAGACAAGACAAATATAACTGCCAACTGGTACATCCAACAGAAGTTATAAAGTGTAAGAAACTTTTCCCTGCCACCTCTATCATGCAAATAGTTATTTTTATTTATTTATAATATTTTCACCCTGCCTTTCAAAATGATCCAATTAGTTAATTAATTAATTAATCAATCAATCAATCAAGGTCTAACAGGAGCAGGTACAGAGACAAGACAAATATAACTGCCAACTGGTACATCCAACAGAAGTTATAAAGTGTAAGAAACTTTTCCCTGCCACCTCTATCATGCAAATAGTTATTTTTATTTATTTATAATATTTTCACCCTGCCTTTCAAAATGATCCAAGGTGGTTTGCATCATTAAAAGACAGTATTTAAAAGCAATAAAGGTAAAGGTAAAGGCTCCCCTTGACATTTGCAGTCCAGTCGTGTCCGACTCTAGGGGGCAGTGCTCATCCTGTTTTCAAGCCGTAGAGCCAGCGCTTGGCCGAAGACAGATTCCGTTGTCACGTGGCCAGCGTGACTAGGGAACGCTGTTTTACCTTCCCACCGAGGTGGTACCTATTTATCTACTTGCATTTACATGCTTTGGAAAAGCAATAAAAGTATACAAGTATTACAAAAAAAATCAAACAAATACCACACTAAAATGGTAAATCAAAATCGACACCCAAAGCAGATTCAAAGCAACAAGGCACAACACTCCATTTAAAACCCCCTCTCAGACTGCCAAGGGCTCAATCCTAATGACAATAAGAAACACCGCTGAATTGTGTTTTGCTTTTTAAAAACAATGTGATACAAGGTGTCTCCATGGCATAAATGGAAACACGGATTACTTTGGAGGGGAAGCATGCTTTCTGATTGGAAAGCAACATAAAATACTCATCCATCAGAAGGTTGGTTATTTCAGCATACATATGAAACCCTGATTTATTTCAATCGTTTCCTCATATCTAAACACCTTTATCGCTGCCAATTGTGTCTTTCGGTAACCAGCAGAGGCGGTGGGAGAGGCAGCAGCAGCAACAAGCCCTGTTGGGGGGGGGGGAGGAAGGAAGAATGGATGTTTGGAGGGAGCCTGAGAGGAAAAGGAGGACACGGACAGTCCTGTGGATGGGGTTGGAGGAGCAAAGCGCTGTCTTCGGACACAAAAATGGATCAGAGGCACAGATCCTCATGAATCCACATGACTTTTATGTAGGATCATCCCCAAAATGATTTTAGTCATAGGTGCTGTCTCTGCCCACAGATTAATTTTTGTTGTTTAGTCATTAAGTCACGTCCGACTCTTCGTGACCCCATGGACCAGAGCACGCCAGGCCCTCCTGTCTTCCGCCGCCTCCCGGAGAGTTGGGTCACATTCATGTTGGTCGCTTCGATGACACTGTCCAACCATCTCGTCCTCGGTCGTCCCCTTCTCCTCTTGCCTTCACACTTTCCCAACATCACGGTCTTTTTCCAGGGAGCCTTCTCTAATTAATTAGACAGTCCTTTGGGGATGATCCCATGTTAAAATCACGTGGATCCATGAAGATTCACACTTGGATCAGTGTTCTTGCACCACTGTAAAACCAGGCACCCTTCATTTCTGAGATGGGTACATACGGGGCCAGCAGCTGCTTCAGAAGCAGCCAG